ATGAAAATAACTGTTCGTGCACAAAATGATGTTTGAGCTGGTGTCATTCATTACTAAAGATCAAAGCATTATACCTTTACATATGATCTCAAAAACATAGTTTTTGATCTTGCTTCGAAATTTCTTTAATATTTGGCTGTTAAACTCTTGATCTTGTTATTCATCATGAGCCCGATTTGATAGACTTGATTTTGACCATTTAAGCTTCCGTCTCAAATATTTTGACTTGAATGATTAACTTTCACTTTAAACTTCATTTCGAGTCCGATTTATGATGTGTTGATTTTGGCAATAGTCGATAGATTTTAACATTGAACTATCATCACTCAAAATCAATTGTTAGAAACAATATTAATCTTATTTGTTATAATCAAAACATTGAGGATGAAATCAACCATAGGTCAACAGATTGAACTCATACATCTCATTGACNAAACAATATTAATATTGTTTGTTATAATCAAAACATCGAGGATGAAATCAACCATAGGTCAACATCATGTGTTGTCAATATGTCAAAGAAAATGTCTCCAATTCGTGAATCATCTTTCATGTTGTGGCATAAATGGTTGGGTCACATTTCAAAGGATATTATAGCTAGATTGGTTGCAAAAGGGTTCACTCAACGAGAAAGCATTAATTACAATGAAACATTTTCACATATTTCGTCCAAAGATTCTTTTCGAATTATCGTGGCACTAATGAGACATTATAATTTGGAGCTTCATCAAATGGATGTTAAGACGGATTTTCTAAATGGAGATCTTTCAAAAAGGGTTTACATGAGACAATCTGAAAGTTTTGTTGTGAAGGTGAAAGAAAATTTAATATGCAGGTTGAATAAATCCTTATATGGCCTCAAGCAGCTATCACGGCAGTGGAAATTGGAACTTGAGGATTGAATTCTAGGGGTAAGGATTTTGGATTGGGTAGGTTGAGGATAGGTTTAATAGATAATGGGTTGATAAATGAATATTAAAAGATGAATAATTATCTGATTTTTGGAAAAAAAAAAATCTTTAAATCTAATTTTTGAATTGTCCATCTTAAAATCTTGTGTAAGTGTAATTTCCAGTTAATTAAATTTAAACCATGAATTAATTAATCTCAACATATTAATAAGCAACCTAATTAATTAATTGTCCAACACTTATTAATTAATTAATTGGTAAATCTCATTTCTCTGGTTCTCTTTTTGTGTGTAACTCATTAGATTCTCAATTACATTGCCTAACAATGTGATCAAATTTCAAATATACTAAAATACCAAATTCCAATTTCAAATCAACTTGAACACTACTACTAAAAAAAAGGGAAGAACTGCACATACTACAGAATTCCATAAACCCAAATTAAAAACCATCACCAATAAATTACTAAAGGCGTCTAGTGCAAGATCAATGATCAACAGTCCAACAATTTATTAAATTAATCTGAAGCCCAAATTGCTCTACCTCATGGCTACAATTTAAAGCCTTTGTTGGGCTCCATTAAAATTATAATTTATTTTTCTCTCTTCTTATCAATCACACATTCTACAATAAAATAATATTACACGTAAATCCAAAATTTTTGTTTTTTTTTTTAACCACACATTTTTAAAAATAAATTTTAAAAAAGTATTCCAAAAATTATAATCTCAGATAACGGGGCCAAACAGGGTATGAAAGTCTAATATTCCTCTCAATTTTCCTGAAGTTGCATAAAAACAATGATGAGCTAAATCCATTAAGAGA